CGCCAGGGGAAGAAGCGCCTTCGCGGGACGGTTCTTTCGGTTTCCCTTTTCCCCTACGGGGGATTATCCGCGAGCTCTGGAAACGCGGTTAATTTTGCATCCCCCTGCGTTGCCTTTAGGTTAATCGCCGTAACGCTGCGTTCGTGGTGTACAGGAAGTTTTGTCTGTTAAGCCCGCTTCATCGTTAAACCGCTTAGTCCCCGCGGCCCTATTGCACAGGAAAGCCTTGTCTGTAACAGGGACCGCCGCTCTGCAGCAATTCCACCTGGCCTTCCCTCGCTAGGTTTGTTACTTTCCGTTGTCACCTTTTATTACCAGTAACGTTCAACAGGATCGGCCTCTGACTGCTGCAGGTGCGCCTGACGTGTAAACGCGTAACAGCTTTTTGTCAGCGTTAATCTGGCCTCGCTTCTCGGCCCGGGACGGTAGGAACCCTGCTGGCTTTCCTCTCGCCTGCCGGTGCTGTCGGAGCTCAGTCTGGTAGTGACCGCCCTGCTCCCCTCTCCGGACCTTTCTGTCATCCTGTTACACTGCAAATCTGTGTTACCCCAGTAGCTTCCGGTTTTTAGTGGGCGTTCCTCTAAATTGGTATTTTTGAGTTCATTGTAATTTTGTCAAGTTCAGTTTTTATATAAAACTTAAAAAGTACTTTTTATCCTGTTCTTCACCTTCAAATGCATCACGCTTTACTATTTTTGTAAATTATGCTCGTATTTTGTATTTTGGTAGTGTCTACAAAGTAATCTTAGCTCTCATAAGTGCTATTTTTTAATCTTACGATGCTGTTGCTTGCATATTTTTCTGTGAATGAGACTGCTGAGTACCGTTATTTTTTTTATTACATTAATTCTTAGTGAGTATTGAACATTAGATAAAGCAAAATGAAATTGGATGCTTTGTTATAAAGCTCAAAATCCTTTTTAAATAGCATTTAAATAGTAGTATTCAAAGTTAGTTGCCAAGAGAACTTTTAGCATGTTTGGTGACTGAACGTGATTGCTTCTTAGCTGAGAAACCTGTGTAAAAGATTTGTTAGCAGATGGGCTAATCTGAACAAGAACTTGCATTTAAGTTTATAAAACTTGTAGGCAAAAGGATAACATCTGAATTCTAGAATGTCTTTTATTCTTTACATACAGTAATTGTCTATAAAATTACTGCAAATTCTAAGCGTACTTTCTAGCTCGTTAGGATAACAACTAAGAGCAGTCTTATCTTTTAGGTGCATTATGTTATTAATACTTCAGCCATATTTAAGTATGTAAATTAACAGAAGTCAACGAGAAGTTACTACACCATATGTAGTTTAAGTTCAGAACCCCAATACTCCTAGATAGTAGCTATAGATTTGTTAATTCCTTGCAAGACAAAGCAAGTAAAAGGAATTAAATCTTTAGCTTTGCTAACTTTTAAAGACAATCTGGTTGCTACTCTGAGTTATATGGTACAGTTAATATGTGCTCACTTGCCTGCTGTGGACAGCTGTGAGGCAACAGCAGCAGCTTCCCCGAGTCTGTGAGAGCATCTGCGAACAGTGTGGGGGGAACCATTAAACCTTGGAGGTCCTTTGGACTCACAGGTTCGGTTGTCCATGGTTTCTGAGACAGAAACGCTGTTGCAGCTGGGTGGCGTTCTGCCAAGGAGCAAGGCGACGCACAGGGACAGAGTGAATCTGTGCAGGTTTTGTATTACCAGAATGTTTAACTTCTGGCAAGGTGAAATCTGTTTAAACTGGTAGTCGCTTTGTGTTGAATTTCTGGGAAGCATCTATCGCTTATCTTGGTTTCTCAGAAACAAGTGACTAAAATCAGTCTTGCAGACAGAGGAACAGGATGCAAACTGGACTTAACTTGGTATAGCTGTGATTGTGTTCAGCTGAAGCTGTGCTGCTAATGTAATATCCTCCTTACGATACGCAAAATAAATTTAGATGAACAATACTTTAAAATGTCAGATTTTAGAAATGATGCAAAGTTGGCCGCTTTAAAAATGTCACAGACTATCTTTAATAAAGAACCTTTCAACTCTGTTTTCTGCAGCAGGTCTCTGATATTTATTAGCGGGTACCCTCTGGCTGTAGAAACGCTGATAATCTGTCCTGCGATGCTCTAGCCAGACTTGGCTAAGATAAAGAACACATAACAAAAAAAGAGAACAGTACTTGCATGTTCTGGCTTACGCTTTTCAGAGAAACATGCACAGCCTTAAAAATTGTCAATAAACTCGTGTTCTGAGGTCAAATTGACTGTAAAGATAAAGGTAACTTTTAAAAACATCACTTGCTGTAGTTGGTCATTTTCAGGAAACTGTCCAGATATGAATTACTCGTTTTCATCCTGTACTGGTGGGAATCAGTCATTCTTTGCCTGAAGATTTAGAGTTGAGGAAAATGCATGCAGTGTGCTGGGAACTTTAAGCAATTAGTTTGGGACCAGCTGTTTCCATAATGCACTTCTGCATCTACCCTTATGGAACAAAAGCTTTTTAACTTCAAGGGTGACAGACAGTAGTTTGGAAGCGATTTCTGTTGCTGCCTGTGCTGCAGTCAGCCCTGTACTCAGCACTGGTGAGATCGTACCTCGAGTACTGTGTTCAGTTTTGGGCCCCTCACTACAAGAAGGACATTGAGGTGCTGGAGCGTGTCCAGAGAAGGGCACTGAAGCTGGTGAAGGGTCTGGAGCACAAGCCTTATTGAGGAGTGGCTGAGGGAACTGGGGTTGTTTAGCCTGGAGAAAAGGGGGCTGTGGGGAGACCTTATTGCTCTCTACAACTACCTCAAAGGAGGTTGTGGTGAGGTGGGTGTTGGTCTCCTCTCCCAAGTAACTAGCGGAAGGACAAGAGGAAATGATCTGAAGTTGTGTCAGGGGAGGTTTAGATTTAGATATTAGGAAAAATTGCTTCACTGAAAGAGTGGTGAGGCATTGGAACAGGCTCCCCAGAGGGTTGGTGGAGTCACCATCCCTGGAGGCATTCAAAAAACGTGTAGACATGGCACTTAGAATGCTGAAAATGTAATAATGCTCAGAAGTGACTGGGCTGTTTTAATTGCATAGTAGAGAGCATTCACAAAATTATAATCAATTATCACAAATTGTATTAAGTAGTCAGGAAATCAAAGATTTATGGATTCTGTACACCTGAAGTTCTGTTCTGTACTGGCATGTAAGCATATGCTTTTATTTTCATTTTTTGATACACGCAGAAGGAAAGCATGAAAGGAAAACACAGGTTGCACAGGCAGATATGAGTCATGTTTGCTGTCTTGAAAGCTGGGTCTAGTGAGTGGTAGAGTGGAATGAACTTGTGTGAGCAACTGTCTAGTACTGAAATGTGCAGTAGCTGAAGTAAAGCTTTAGTATGTTGTATACATTGAGAGTTTAAATTATCAAATCACTTTCAGATGTGTTTTGTAAAACTAGAGAAGAGCGCGCTGTATCTTGGTTTTACTTACTAGAATATTGTGTTGAATAATGATGAATTACTATTCTGTTTAGTAAGAAATCCATCTTCAGTTCTCATGCTCCTTGTAGGTAGGCCACCGCGAGTTGTGTTGCATTGCTGTGGCCTCTAAGAGGCACAGTCTATCCAAAATTACTTGTTGCAGGATGTGGACCCTAAATGTTAAATATTTTGGTTCCATTTTCAAAGGAAGTTATTTCTCTCACTTCAAATTGCACGAAGTTATTAAATTCTGAATGAACTTAACGTTCTGTCTTCATTAGTGGTGTGGTTTGTTTTCCCTTCTTGTTGTGGAAGTAAATGAGTTTCCCATTTCATTTTCATTATCTTCAAAAAAATACATGTAAATACTTCAGTAGGTACGATATCAGTGCTCCCAGATATTTGTGTTCCATGAGACACTCCAAAACACTCACGTGGCAAGGAAAGCTATTTAATACACTAGCACTGACTGTCGTGGCCTTGCATGCATTTTAAGAAAAAACAGTAATAAGTAACAGTCAAAAGAAAACTTTTCCTGTTCTCATTTCCCTAGGAAGATGTTGATATTCCTAGTAGGCGAGTTTTGATTACTGGTGCTACGGGACTTCTTGGCAGAGCGGTGTTTAAAGAATTCAAGGAAAATAATTGGAATGCAGTTGGCTGTGGATACAGGAGAGCTCAGCCCAGATTTGAACAGATTAATCTTCTGGACTCTATTGCAGTTCATGACATTATCCATGATTTTCAGGTAAGTTTCTGACGTATGAAGTAGATGGACAGGGTACTGTATACATCCAGTAATCAGCTGACAGTGCCGGTCTGATACCGAGTTCACATGGCTTTAGTGGGACTCATGCTTTGGCAGAGCTCTGAAAAATTATGTGGCTGCCTTTCTGCCACCTCTGGAGTGCAGGTTTGCTCTGCAGATGCAGATCTGAACTGCACTGTTGTCACCACTGACAGACTGCACGTAACAGATGTACGTGTCAGCACACTTGCACTGGTAGTTGAAAGAAAAAGATAAATGTGAGTTACTGACATGGTAATATGAAGCAGTTCTTTGGAAGTTGAAGAATACATGAATTCAAGAGCAGTAACTGCGTGTCTAGTGTGCATTGCAGTAAGAAATTCACTGGGTTTTCAGTCTTAACTTGCAAGGGGAATATATAAAGCCTGAAATACATTATGCAGGCTGCCTTTCCATAAAATGGCTTTAAATATCTTGTTAATAGTCTGCATGTATCAAATAAGCTATGTGTAAATGGCTTATCTAAAAATAGGCTAATTTTTTTTAAGTACCATTATGTGTGTGTATGAAATATATATTACTATTGTATTTTCTATTATTATACTGAGTTTAAAAGGGGGAAAAAAAAAAAAACAACCGACAACTTAGATCTTGCTGTAAAATTGAAGCTACTGAAGATCATAATTGCAAAATTAACAATCAGGTTTTTTTGGTATCTTGAAGCAGCATGGTTCTGTTTTACTTCCTAATGAAAATATGCTCCACGGAATGTCATGATTAAAAATAATACTACTGCTTTTAGTACTTCTCACGACTTAGTGAAATGACGTTTTGCCTGAGGGAGTTCATCACTAGAGTTAGGGTGCTCCTGCAATCTCTTGACAACGTTTGTTGTTTAAAATTAGTCTTTAATTTCCAGCCTCATGTTATAGTGCATTGTGCTGCTGAGAGAAGGCCAGATGTTGTAGAAAGTCAACCAGATGCGGCTTCTCAGCTCAATGTGGCTGCTTCAGGGAACTTGGCAAAAGAGGCAGGTAAGGAGACCAGCTAATGGATTTGGTTTCTTGTTAAAACCCTGTGTTTGTTTGCACAGGGACATAAATATGAATAAGTTACTCAAAGTGCTGAATGTCATTTCTGAGATCAGCGTGCCGTTGGTCCGTTTTCTGTAAGGGTAGCGTGTATATCTATGTGAAGGATCAGTGAACAGACAAAGCAGCGGGAATGAGCGGGGCTAGACGATGAGGTCTTTTGGAAATTTGTTAAAGGTTTACTGAGATTCAAGCAAGGCATGAATTAAAATAGACTGTGTATAAACATTCTCTTCCTAGCTGGAGTTGGAGCATTTCTGATCTACATTAGTACAGACTATGTATTTGATGGAACAAGCCCTCCATATAAAGAGACTGATGTACCCAATCCCCTGAATTTATATGGTAAAACCAAACTGGAGGGTGAAAAGGCAGTCCTGGAAAATAATGAAGGTAAGAATACGCTCACACATGTTTAATAGAGGCTTTCCATTTTTACTTAGTTATATATTAGCTTAATAGACTCCTAAGTCAGTGGTAAAGTTGCAAAGCCATGGAAACGAGATTAGGAAAAGGATGTGATTAGCAGTCAGTCTCCTTGCTCATAAACTATTCCTACTGCTTACAGGTTAACTAAAGCTGTATTTCTTACTTGTTGGGATCTTCGTCTGTGTTACTAGAACGATGGACATTCACAAGCCTTTGTTTACTGTGAATCATCAATATTTTGTAGTGGCACAAGCTTTACTGCACTTAATATAGAGCCACTGTTATTTAGGGGAATGCATTGCAGTTGTTCTAAATGTACATTTACTTAAAGGGAAAAACAGACTTGCAATTCAATAAATATGCAGATAAAATCAACACGGGCTTTTGTTGTTACTCTCTTGGTTTTCTAGCTGATCTTCTGGTTTGCTCTCATAAGATAAACCTTCCAGCCATCCATTTTATTTTTACCCACCTGTCTTACCATGCACATCAGATTCCTGCTTGTAACACTTTCTCAAGGGTTAGTAACATAATTCTAGTTTTAAGCAACTAATTTTTAATATATTTAAATCTTAATGAAAACTGGAATTCAAAATATACAAACATAATTTAAAAAATTCTACTTAATAAAGAAAAAAAGCTTGGAACTGAACATGTTCCCTTACATTTAAAACTTATTTCTGGTACAAAAGAGAGGTTTGCTTGTTTCTAGATAGTATGCTCTCAGTTTCCATTCACAGATTATAAGGAAAGAAGCACTTCTATTTTCTCTAAGAATTTGAAGAAAATCATCTCAGTGCACTTGTAGAAGAGACTTCTGATACGTCCATATGATACCTGCACTGTCATTCCACTCTGCCTAACCAGAGAATTGAACAATTGATAATTAGTGTGATGGTTTTTCAGTAAGTATATACTATATTTGAAAATGACAGGCCTTAATATAGCTTTGTCATTACTAGTAAGAAATAGACTTTCTAAAAAATACTTTGATAGGAAGTGTCTTATTTAAGTAAAAATCAATTTAAAAAGTTACTCACTCCACCTCTTTCTTAAGTATCGTCTCTGAATTTGACTGTGATGCTGTTTGCTCCCTCTTCTAGATTTGGTAATGAAGATAAGACCGCACCAAATTCAAGTACATGTGGGTATCTTGCTAGATCCTTCCCCAAAACACTTCATTTTTTTGTTTCATAACCTTTCTCAGTATGATCTTGTCAGGCAGTAGTGGGTTGCAGCAGTGGTATTATTAGCAGAAGAAATTTAGAGATGGTGCTGATTAAGATGCTTGAAAATGTCAGTTCTATTGTTTCATACAAATACAAGTATTTTACATGTATTAGTCTTTCAACCACTTATTTGCTAATACTGTATAGGTAGAATTCAGTGTATCAAATGTCTGTAGTTGCATGAAGAACTTCCCTATCTATTTCTGCTGTATAATGCAAGAATCTCCACTAATAATTTGGGGTTTTGCACATTTTTAAAAAAATATACTTTACTTTGGCTAGGAGGGAATACAATACTCATGCGCATGAAACTAAAAAGTTTTAGTTGGTTTTCAGAACCATTGGTAATGCAGGTGATGCTCTCCAAGTCTCAGATAGCTCTCGAGAACAACAGGAAGGCAGTCTTTTTCTCAAATAATGAATACTTCTAAAGACATTTAAAAAGGGATATTTCAACCAGTATTTAAAGAGAGGAAGAACATACTTGCTGAGTGACCAAATAACTGGTTTTAGAGCAGCAGGAAATCAGTGTCATGTTGGGTTTTTTATTGTATTTGTTTTTCTTGTGTAAGTACTTACTTGGGTTTATTTTTCTGTGAGAATAATTTGCATGTTAGATTTTGCTTTTTGTCTTTCTAATAGCTATAGCGTTTTCCTACAAATCTTTAAGAATTGCAATGATTTGGTGACGATTTCTAATTTCAGGACTGATTTTAATATTTGTTTTCCTTTGAACAAAAATATCTGTATTACTTTTAATGAATTTGTCATAGCCTTCTTCGATTTCCCCTCAAAGAAGCCTTTTGAATCTACATGACTGAGATAGACTGGTACAATGTATGCCATCATAAAATATCCTTCTCTTTGCACTTGTTTACTGATTAATTTCTTACATCACTTGAAATCTACTATTGTTTACTACTGTATTCTGTGAACCTATTCCTTTATTTGTCAAGGTTAATGTCTTTTTTTCTCATAAATAATATCATCCTTTATGTAGGGGGCTTCTGCATGCCTGGTGAAAAATCTGTCTGTAACTGATGCCTGAATATGGTAAATTGTGATTGGTGGGAATTCTTGTTCTTGCCCTTACCCAGGGAGGATGGGGAATGCTGGAGTAATTGCACAGTGCAGTTGGGTTTTTTTAATGTTTTAATTTTTGTTTGAACCCAAACAGGCTGCCTTTTTTCTCTTCCGGTGTTAATGAAAGCTTGTTAACTTCTGGAAATCACTGGCATAAATGAAAAACAGTTTATAAACACTAAGTTTATATAAACTTATTTAATTGATATAAATTGATATTCTGAGGGCAAAGGTAGTAACTGCATTTTATTCGTGATTTGTAGATGTTGAATATCACCAACATATTTCTTAACGCTTCCAAAACATTCTTCTGGTTATGCAACAGCATTCATACCTACTCAGAACAGTGTTAATACTTCTAAAATATTCTTTCTTTTAGGTGCTGCAGTACTTAGGATTCCTGTCTTGTATGGAGAGGTAGAAAGACTGGAGGAAAGTGCTGTGACTGTTATGTTTGATAAAGTGCAGTTCAGTAATAAATCTGCCAACATGGACCACTGGCAACAAAGATTTCCTACTAACGTCAAGGATGTAGCAACTGTTTGCAGACAACTAGCAGAGAAGAGAATGCTGGTAAGAATTTAAAGAAACAAGGTAAAACCAGTTCCAGTTCTTGGCTTTGTTTCTGAACAACTGAGAACTGCAGATAACCTGCATCATTCTTTGCATTTCTGGAACACTGGGAGGGAGGAAAGAACTAGCTACAATACTACAGTATCTTCCATTTACATGACAACGTGTGGATATTCTGATATTTGAAACAAATGTGAGTGAAGTGATGGGACAGATCCTTCTGAAAATTGTCACGTGTCTCCTAGTATACAGGAGAGAAATTCAAATACCTAACTTATTCTAATACATCTTTTGCAAATTGCCATTTTGGGCTAAAAACACCTCATGGTGGTTGAATGGAATTATCAAAGGTGCCCTCGTTTATTGTATTAAGAACACTGAAGGGGCAAAAACAAGCCACTGGACTTAAATACTTTACCATGTTTATTCACCACAGCATCTTCTGATTACCACCTTTGCAAGGCAACAAAATCAATCAATCACCTTAATTTTTCATATGTGCAACTTTGAAAAAATGGAGCATGCACATATGGTAGACGTGGTACAATCAATTTGTTTCATAGGACTTGTACGTGGTTTGCAGTTTAACATTCAGAACGTACGTGGTGCCTTTTGCATTTGTTTTCGAGTAAGCGCATAGTATAGAATAGTGGAGTTCCTCCTCCCCAGCTATTTGACCTCAGTTGGTTGGCTCACTCCTTTGTCTCCTGTTAATTCTACAGAATATAAGTTGTTTGTGAACAGTAGGCCAGTTACACGTAAGGCCAGTTTTCAGTCTCGATCGCGTCAGGTGTTCTCTGAAAATGCGTGAGACCTTTCCATAACATCTGAGGTGCTGTAACATGCCTTTCAGGATAGGATCTCGCTGGAAGATTTTTCTGCGCAATTGTTGCACAGGAGTTAGTGTGAGAGCTAGCTAGCTGCCTTTTTTTTTTTTTTTTTTCACCTGTGCTTCCTGTTTCTTCTGTAGGACCCATCAGTAAAAGGAACATTTCACTGGTCTGGCAATGAACAGATGACTAAGTATGAAATGGCATGTGCAATTGCAGATGCTTTCAACCTTCCCAGCAGCCACTTGAGACCAGTAAGTGATGTGTTGTTTGACCTGTAGAAAGATGCACATGCTTTATCCTTTCAAGCAGTGGGTCTCATGCTAGCTATACAAGTAAGCTTCCTCTTCAGGATGATCTGTGTGAGTATGTCTGGCACAGCAGATGTATTGCTGAGGATGCTGTCTGGTATCTAACTTGGGAAAACAACAGCTGGTTTGACCTGCTGAATTATGAAAATTACCCTGTCAGTCAGTAACCAGTTTCACAGTCTGTAGTGTAATGCTATTTCTGCAGAACGGTTCCCTTTAGTCACAAGTAAATCCAATTTTTTTGTTGTATTTTTGTCCTTAAAAAAACTTATGAGATAGACAGAACAGTAACTTGAAGGTAGGAAGCTGTAAGAATTTTTCAATGTCCAAATTTATTTCCAATTATGTGCATTTAAGAATTTCAAATAATTTTTGCTTTGCTTAAAACACTTGTCCTGGAGTTTTATTGACACTTAAAAGTAAGACTGCTGTTAAAGACATACGGATAATGTTATGAGAATATAACATGTAAATAAGATTCTATTTATATCCAAAATAAATTTCAAGGATTCTGAATTAGTAAAGGCCAGAACTGAAATGTGGCTTGGAAGATGGACAGAAAAGGAATGGAGAACACTAAGTTAGTCTGGGATTTTTCTGCCCAAATCTATTTCTGTTCAAGTACATTGATCAAGACATGGTTCTGTCAAAATTTTGGTCCATTTTTTTTAACCTTGTGATTATAGTTGTAGGGTGAAAATAGGAATAAGACATTGAAAAGCATAAATGGTGAACAGTAATTGCATGAGAAAAAATTAAGACATTTCATGCCGCTTTGCCTGACATCTCGTATGTTGAAATGAAGTTAACCATCGAACAAGCAAACAAAAACCCCCAAACAAAAAATCCCCACAAAATTGTTGGAAGTGAGGAGGGGAACGTACCTATATAGAAAGCTACAAAGGCAAAACTTCTGAATGAACATATTTAACAATACTTTTTTGTCACTTCCGATTCCTTGTTGGTGTGTTGGGTTTTTTGCTGTTTGTTTTATAGATTACTGATTGTCCCGTTGTGGGTGCTCTTCGTCCGAGGAATGCTCAGCTAGACTGCTCCAAGTTGGAGATGCTGGGGATAGGCCAGAGAACACCGTTTCGAGCTGGGATCAAAGAATCGCTTTGGCCTTTCCTTATTGATAAGAGATGGAGGCAGACAGTCTTCCATTAGTTTGTAACTTTTTTAGTAAAAGTATGGTATGTGGCACTTTTTTAAAAGAAAAAAATAGTTTTGTATGAGTGTTCTTAAATTGTGACATTTATGAGTTTTCATTTAATCAGGTAAACATATGGTCTTGCACTAGTGAAATGATTAGCCTAAAAAAAGCTCAGTGACAAAAAATGAGCCTATTTGATGTCATGGATCTTTCCTTCCATTTGTATCAGTCTAACTTAATGTCTATTCCTATGGTTCTTAGTAATCAGTACCATTTGATGCAAAGAAATGACTCAGTTCACTTGTAGACTTACTTTTGGCTGAATATGTTGTTGATGCTTAAGGTCTGTGCCATTGTTGTATATACCATTTCTCTTCATTAAAAGACACAGTCAGTTACTTTATCACCAAAAATCTGAGTTTTTTGTTTTTAACTTCTGAAGGTGGTGTTCTTGTGAAGTTAAACTGAAGTAGGAATTGTTAAATGTTTGTTTTGCTTGAGCTCTGATCAAAATATTTTCTAAAAAAGTGAAACTTTATTTTTGCAATTATCAAGTGTACTTTTTATGCTTGAAATATTTTCAGAATACTCTGTAACTTGAATGCCTGCAGCTTCATATTTGTACAGTAAGTTGTATGCATTTGTTTTAATGGTGAGATTTAAGAGCTAGAGGAGGGTGGGGAACAAATAGTTTTGACCTGGGGTTTTTTTGGGGTTGGGATTGGAGTTGGAGGATTTTTTTTTGAGTTGGTGAGTTGTTTATTTTTTGTATAAAAGCATGAAATATCTTCATCTTTCTTTTGGGTAGTATTTTGGATTTGTGAAATTAGTGGGAGGAAGATGTTTGTTAGTCAGTATGTGTGAGAGAAGAAAGGTATTTCAAGAATTTGTAGCACTGTGGCTTCTTTTGCACAGACTTTCAGATCTTGCATTGATGTAGCTTGTTCTGGAACAGCAAAGCACATATGTTGAAGGTTTGCGCCATGATAATGTAACTGCAATAGTCTAATATAAGCAAATCCTTATTCTGCTTAAGTCTAGTCCCTAAAGTTGGACTTAGTAGACAGGTAAAGTGGAGGAAGAACGTGGTTTGTAAAGGTTAGCTTCCTTTTGAAGTTGTAGAATTGACAATATTAATGTTCTGAGATGGCCAGCAGATCATCAGCAAAACTAGGAAAAGCTGCATTTTGATGATCATTTTTCTGAGGTTGAAGTGAAAGCGGAGGGAAAGATGTTCAGCTTTTAATTTAAAAAAAAAAAAGGGGGGGGGAAGAGAGAGACAGATGCAAATATAGATCAACTGAAGATCTTCTAAAGGTCAGCTTTACATTCAGTCCTTTAATTTCCAACTGGCATACGCTAAGAGTTCATAATCCCCAATTTGTTTTTAGTCTGAAGTCCTGATATACATATGGTAACCTATCTCCAGAATGACAATAAATATATATTGCCAGCATGAGAAACAGTTGTTGATTCTTTCTTTATCATCAGGATTTGTTTATCTGAATCATAAATATTTGCAATTCTTCTTGAAATGTGTGTCTTTTCAGTGATTTGGTTTTTTCTCCCTCCTTAATTCAAAGAACTATTTCCAGAGTTAGATTAGGTTGGATCAGTGTTTCTCTGTCAATGTGCTGCTGCCTTGGGGATATGATAAATGTACATGCAAAAAAAGGTACAGAAGATTTTGAAAATACGAGCCTGAAACATCCTGTGCCTCCGCTTGATCATGAGGATTCTGAGTACATCCTCTCCACTTGCAGCCAGCAAATTTTTTATTATATTTGACACCATATATTTTTAAAAAATCACAGCAAAATTTATAAAACTGATATGGCAATTAATCACCGATTTATTTATTTTTTTGAACACCAAAATATAGGAGTCGGCTACCCAAGTTTCTAAGTGGTTTTGATACTTAAAGACGGGGAGGTTCAACCTTGTCCACTTTTAAATTGGATTAATCTTTACATTTCATCTTAGGGTACATGGAACTTCCCAGGTTAAAAAAAAAAACAAAGCACAAAACAAACATACGGATTTTTTTTTCTCAAGTTCTTCTACACTTGCAGAATCATTTTGCTGTTTAGTAAAATCTACAATTTTTCAAATAGGAAGGGGTGGTTTGTGGAACTCTTTGCTTCCTAAGCAGCACTCCAGGTAACTTTCTGTTTGGTTTGGTTTTTTTGTATTTTTGTTGGTAATATGATTTAATTCATGTATGTGTTGCACCTTCTATTGGGCTGTTTAATTTTTACTACTAATTGGGCTACTTAATTTTTTCCACTCAAAAAGAGGGAGCATATATTCATTTGAAAAAGAAGTGTCTAGAGCTAGTTAGTTACACTAAACCGTTGTACCTGTGGAGTAGGTTTCAAAGGATGACAGTATGACTAGAAGATACAAAGATGACAGGAGATGTATCAAAGAAAAAAAAAAAGTGATTCTCTTAGTTGCGTTCTTGAATAGTTGGATGACCAGAGATAGAGGGAAATTAAATGTTAAGGTGATAGGAGTTTACCCTCCTCCTGCTGCATCCCTTCCACAAAAAGTTTAGATATATTCAAGGCTGTGTAAAATGAAAACTGTATTCCCAGCTAGACTGCAGTCCAAGGGTCTCATTACTAAGGCTTTTTAAAAATGTCTTAGGTGGAGTTTTAACAACTGAAAATTTATTTTGAAGTATAACGAAAATCAACCTAAAAGGTTTTGAAGTAAGTCACAGTGACTAGAACTGGATTAAATGGGTAACTCCTTTCATTCATTAACTTTTACAGTATGGCTCAAAAGTATAACCTAGATTGAAGCTTCACTACATTAATCCTTTTGACCAGGTGTTTTGGGGTAATTATGCCTAAATTTTGGCAAGGTGATTGTGAACGTCAAGCTGTCAAATAGTGGGGAAGTCCCAAGCTGAGATATGAGATTCTTTTGTATAAATGTGTGTTAAGATTGGGTTCTGTTCTGATATATCATTATTTCAGTATGTTAATGATAAAATTTAGCAATCTATATTTGTTTAACAATGTATTTTCAATTTTTCTCAATATGTAGTCTATAAAAAATAAATACCAAACTCCATCCGGCTATCATTTCTTTATTGTACTATCATAATCTGAAGGCTGTAACAGATTACAAAGGTAAAAGGCAGGTATGTTCTTAAATGTCATGTCTGTCTGCTACAGAGTTTTCCTGCCAAGAAAAATTGTTCTTAATGCTTAAAAGGTGAAAATCATAGCTTCTACATATGATAACAGTTACAGAATCAGTAACAGTCTATCATCTTTGACATAAATATTTAAACCAAAATACAGGAACAACACTTCCTCTTTACCTTTTTCGTACCAAGTCAAGAATAAGGAATCATTATTTCAAGGGTTCCAGTAGGAAATGAAAAATTAGTTAACGCCATCATTTCTGTGAAGAAAAGACTACTGTTCAGTTGTATCTTGTCAGAGGGGATCTTCATTCTCAGCGTCCCCCCACCATAAAACATAATAGAAAGTACCCTGGAGAACGTGGTCTCCGAGGCACTTCATTACTAGACAGACACCTTTCTTGACGTTACCCTCCTTTGGTTATAGATATCTGAGAGCACACTATAGATACTGCAAAAGATAGTGGAACTAGTACTCTGAATTTTCCAATCACTTTTAAGGTATGTTGCTGTTGAAAGAATTGGTTGTACTCTTCCTTTTTATTCTCTGCCTTTGTGTTTCCAGGTCAGTGGCTCTGTAGGTATTTGTTTTGGTCAACCCAGGAACTGTTTGGAGTCAAAATCATTGTGATCGCATGAGATGCGATCTTCGTGTACCGAGAATGGCTTCTTTTTATAGAGGCAGTGCCAGTTTCTGCTAGCTTCATGATTGTGAAAGTACAGCATTATAGAGTCAGTCTTGGTTGAATCCTCATTCTAGGGTTGATGTTTATATTCATTTATTCATTGCTCACTGTCAGCTAAGGGTATACAGAAAGAAAAGTCACTGGTTTTAAAGTCTCATTTTCTGTTTAGACTGCAGAGATGCACTTTTTATCTTTCAGGCCTTCTAAACTCAAAGGACAGATTTTTGTGAATGAAACAATGTTTCTTACATCCTGGTCTCTTCTGATTTATTTCTACATAAGGATGAGATAAAGACCATATAGATTTGTCCCTAAACAAAATGAAAGTAAACCAAAGTTGAAGTTAGCATTTTATAAAAGTTTAATGTTTTTTCTAGACCTTCACTATTGTTCTAGGGAAATACAATATTGGAATTAAAAAATAATACAACCTATTTACTCCATTTCAAGAGAAAGGTAACTTGTTGACTTTAGTGTTCTGCTCTTTATCTTCTAAAGCTAATTTTATTAGCATGGCTTCACAGTATAGTGGTATCTGTTAATATCTCGGCACAGAGAAGAGTTTCGTGTTGTTCTTTGGTGACAAATCTGTTTTTAAAGTACCTTCTAGTTTATCGCTGGGCAGAGGCACTGCAAAAAGGTTGTCACTGTAAACCTTCACAAATTTGTCATTCCACTTGACTCCATGTTGCTGTTAAAGTTCACTGTCAGTAACTAACATATGGATCAGTTCCAAAAATGGCATGCTTCTCTGCTTGTAAGTGATAAACTGAAAAGCCATCAGGGAAAGGTAGAGACTTCTTATTAGACCAGTGGTCTTGAAGCCATGAAGCAATATCTACTACCAATTTCTGAGAACGCTGGGCTCCTGCAAGTTCAGTAGAAACCTGACATTTTTCGGCAGCGAGTCATTTGAGGAAATTTCTTGGCTGTTTTGGGAAGCGCTAAGATGTAAGAAGTGTTTGCTTTCCAGTAGAAGCTGTGTAGCAGAAGTGCCAGTGATGTAATCTCCAAGGGCTTTTCTGCACAGCTGGACTTCCCTGCCCATCAGATTTAAAAGACAGGTTGTTGCCAGTTTTGTGGGGTTTGGGTTTTTGTTTTGTTTTCAAAAAGAAACTTCTAACTGCCTCCTTGCATTCCAAATTTCCAATTTGCTAATAGATAAATTCCCAATTTTCTAAGTATTTTGCAAAGAAATTCCAAAGATAAAAGGTAAATGTATGAACTGAACTTGCTGAATTCTGGAGTGTTAGATTATCTTAAATTCCAAAATTCACTATTTTCTCTGTTAAACGCTGAAAGAAAAGTAAAACTCATGTCATAGCTCTATACATCAACTCTGCTTTGGTACTCTGGGATTCGTAGTTTATGGGGTGAAAGTGAAACAGGAAAATTAGATTATGCATGAAGTCCTTTTGGGTTTTAAGAGCCACATTTTTGTAAACTTACGTGAAAATCTCTAGGAAAATATCATTTCAGTTCAAAACAATCTTAGCTTCTCTCATTTCCTACTGCATTTTACGCATACAGTAGATTTCAAATAAAACCAGGTTGTCAGAAGTTGGTGACATTTCTCATCATACAAAAAGAAATGTAAGTTACAAAATGGCAGATTGGCATTTTTCCCATCTTCTGTCTGGAAGAGGATCTGGCCAAGTGATCAATGCACCTGTCAGTTCCATATCAAATTACTAAAGCTGAAGGAAGGCAGAACCAATTTGCACCAAATGCTGCATCCTTGAGCAAAGGAGAGATGACATTCTGCTATCCAGATGACTCCCCTAGGCTACAGTTCTTCCATAGTTGGCTCAAAACTAACATACTGGTTCATCAAGTTACAACTGGCTTAAGATGCAACCACTGCGATAGCTTTCCCCTCCCAT